CCCCAAAACCCCAAAACCCCAAAACCCCAAAACCCCACGGATCTCCTTTCATATCGAAAATTACTTATTTACTATCTTTTTCCTCCAACTCGGCTTCTAATTGAGCTAATTTTGTGGGGACATCTTCTATCTTCTTAAGAATCTCCTTAGTATTCTGCATTGAGTCCTCAACATAAGAGATGAACAAGTGCAAGGTCTCTCTGTAGTTATGCTCTGAGTAGTCTTGTATGAGCTTCTGGTCACTTGCCCAAGCTGCTGCCATCTTTTTAAACCTATCCATTTTCTATGTTTAGCAAGATAAAATTACTCTCAAAGAGTTATTTAAAAGACTCAATCACTTTTAAAATGTCCTTTTTGTTCTTGAATTCCAACACAAGGGACAGCTTGATGCTCCTGAAGATTCTGAGGGTCTCTGCATGAGCATAATGGAAGAACAACGTCTGGAATTCTATATTTGAGAGACTAAGCTAACCGATCTGTTTAAACCTATTTGGCTCCAGGTTCTTCATCCCTAATGCAATGATCTGATTGTTAATCTGGCTATAAGTTGCCTTCTTCAAAGTAGCTGAGTTTTCGTCCTTCGATCTGTGAGATAACCAATTTTTGAACTGCTTGAAATCAGTCATTAAGGGAGATCTTAAGAATGACACAGATTTTTCCTAAAATTACACTAAAAAGGCCTACCTCTCTCAGATCCTTCTTGAGATCTCTTTTCCTTCAAAAGTGCATTAGACCCTCTCTAAGAGCAAAGGTTAAATTCTCATCATATTTAGCATTCAAATCTTCCATCCTAGTTATTGGGACTGGGATTCATGACTGATCCTCAGAGTCAGAGAGGACGATAACTTTTGAACTATTGGACTTGTTCTTAGTGCCAGCTCTCTTGATGCCCCTCTGAGACATAACTTTGTCTTCTTCATCTACCCTTAGAGCAGGGATTTCTGAAAATGAGCTTTGGATGAATTACCTTTATTCAATTTTGACTGGATTCTAAAACTGATTAACATAATTATACTCATGCTCCTTCCCATGAAATTCCTGTTGTGTAGCGGCTAATTGGTACGCCAAAATCCGTTCCTTGTGCCTCTCTTTGAGGGGATCGTAAAACTGAAGATCGTCACTGTCAAACCAGAGAGGTTTTTCTTCAGTATAATCACTACAATGAGTCATAATGTTTCTCCGATTGAAGTCAAGATTTAGGTATTGCTCTTCTATATTTTTGAAATTGATCTGTACCTTTGTAATCTAAAGTTAACAGCATTGCTTACTTTCAGAAACACTTTGAAGCAGAGAATCTCAGATTGGCTTCAAGACTTCGTATGTCTCTGTAGAGAGTTAGCAAGAAGTTACTTTGATCAAGCCTCATATTTGTTTGACAAGTCTCAATAGCTTCGTTTAGGATCTGCTCTGGAGTTCGGCAGTCCTTCTTCTCTTGTTCTGAATTGGCATTTCCATCACATAAAGCCTGGTTTTTGGCAAAAGAGGGAGGTTTCTGGTTATTCAAATCTTCATGTTTGTCTGTACTAATCGAAGGCTTTGATACCCCATCACTGTATCTTGAAAATGCGCTTGTGTGGTTGCTATCAGACTTATGGATTTCATCAGTCTGCACACTATGACACATAAAACACAATATTACACTCCCTTGGCTAATTTACATATATCTCCTTTAGGAATCTTGAGATTTCTTTGTTTAAAAATGCTAGTTGCAAGGGTATATCTCCTAAATAAAAATGAGAATATAAAGATCGATAAATCAAAAGCTTGGTGTACTGAAACGTCTTGAGGTTGAGCATGAGAGGTACACCCAAAACTTTTCCTATCACCTTACCTTGTCGGAGCCTCCGATGATTTCTCAGCAACTTCTTCAGACTGGAGGATAACATTGTTCTTTTTATACATCTCTGGGTTTTTGTAAGCAAAGACCTAGAAATATAGACTTAAGCTTTCCCTCCAAAAAGGCGGAATCTAGAACAAGAAAATAAAAATTCCAAAACTATTTGTAATTACCGGCTTAATGTATCTATAGTTCTTCCGCGTGATCCCATCCTCCAGTGGCAAGGGTATGGGTGTTGCTGACTCAGAGGCCATTTCCATCCTATGAAGATGGCTCAGGTTTAAGGTAGTGGAATTAATCTTGGGAATTTCATCGATTCTCTTTTCTTCCATCATGCTTAAGATATATATTATTACAATCCTCCTTTTAATTCTTGGGGTTTTGGGGTTTTGGGGTTTTGGGGG